CAGTATTAATGGATGGAACAACGTTGACAAATGTGTGCGCCCAAGACAAAGCGCCCGGAGACAGCCAATTACCGGAAAACCCCGGTTCAGTGATTCATTGGCACGCCATTTCGATATTAAGTCAATATTTACGGGCAGTTTAATTGAAAGACTCACCTGATGATGATGCGGCCGCCGATGGCCGAAACGGTGGCATCGATCCGGAACGTGGAAAAACCTGGTGGAAATCTGTTGGACGAGTTTGGATGCAGGGGCGGCCTGAGGAAGGAAAATCACTAATTAGTCGAAATTTGGCTGCAATCTTTTAGGGGGTTAGGAATTTCGCGAAACATTGAATGGGCCAAAGATAGTTTTTTAAATGATCTGTCGAAAAAGCTTCGGTAGGTGCAACCGATCAAGAGATATGAATGAGAAACCGCTAAAATTCCTGACAATTTGCCTCTATCTTTGTAGAGGTTAGGAATTTTCAAACACAGTAAATGAAGAAAATGCAGCGCTTGAGTTGCTCTATCAAAAAGCGTCTAATGATTTTTCTCGTATTTTAAACTGTTAAGGAGAAATTGATGAAAAACCACCAAAATTCCTGAAAATTTGTTTCTATCTGTTTAAAGGTTAGGAATTTCTAAACACAGTAAGAGTGGAAAATGTAGAACGTGAGCTGCTTTATCGAAAAGATTCTAATGATTTTTCTCATAGTTTAAACTGTTAAGGACAAATTGATGAAAAACCACCAAAATTCATGAAAATTTGCCTCTATCTTTTTGGAGGTTAGGAATTTTCAAACATAGTAAATGAAGAAAATTCAGCGCTTGAGTTGCTCTATCGAAAAGTGTCTGATGAATTTTCTCGTATTTTAAACTGTTAAGGAGACATTGATGAAAAACCACCAACATTCCTGAAAATTTGCCTCTATCTTTTTGGAGGTTAGGAATTTTCAAACAGAGTAAGAGAAGAAAATGCAGCACTTGAGCTGCTCTATCGAAAAGCGTTTAATGATAGTTCCCGTATTTTATCCTGTTAAGGAGAAATTGATGATAAACCACCAACATTCTTGAAAATTTGCCTCTATCTGTTTAAAGGTTAGGAATTTCCAAATACAGTATTAGTAGAAAATGTAGAACTTGAGCTGATTTATCGAAAAGATTCCAACGATTTTTCTGATAGTTTAAACTGTTAAGGAGAAATTGATGAAAAACCACAAACATTCCTGAAAATTTGCCTCTATCTTTTTGGAGGTTAGAAATTTTCAAACAGAGTAAGAGAACAAAATGCAGCACTTGAGCTGCTCTATCAAAAAGCGTCTAATGATTTTTCTCGCATTTTGAACTGTTAAGGAGAAATTGATGAAAAACCACCAAAATTCCTGAAAATTTGCTTCTATCTGTTTAAAAGTGAGAAATTTCTAAACACAGTAACAGCAGAAAATGTAGAACTTTAGCAGCTTTATCGAAAAGATTCTAATGATTTTTCTCATAGTTTAAACTGTTAAGGAGAAATTGATGAAAAACCACCAAAATTCCTGAAAATTTGCCTCTATCTTTTTGTAGGTTAGGAATTGTGAAACATAGTAAAAGAAGAAAATGCAGCACTTGAGCTGCTCTATCGAAAAGCGTCTAATGATTTTTCCCGTATTTTAAACTGTTAAGGAGAAATTGATGAAAAACCACCAACATTCCTGAAAATTTGCCTCTATCGTTTTAGAGGTTCGGAATTTTTAAACACATCAACAAGGGGAAATGCAGGGCTTGAGATTCTCCATCAAAAAGCTTCTAATAACTTTTGCGATAGTTTTAACCGTTAAAAAGATATGGATGAAAAACACCGAAATTCCTTAAAAATTGCCTCTATCGTTTTAGATGTTAGGAATTTTCAAACACACCCCATCGGAAAAATGCAGCAGTTCAGATACTCTATCAAAAAGACTCCAAAGAGTTTCCCTAAAACTTTAATCGTTGCTGAGATAAGCCGATGCAAACAGCTTAGGTCGGGAAAAGGGGCGAAGCCCTTAGACGATCATACATTTTTTCTGGGAAAAATATTGCCCTAGGCACTCTCTACTAAAGTGCCCCTAACCTCAAACCCGCCATTTTCCTTGTTTGCTCACTAGGTAGTTTTCCAACCTTCAAACGCTTAAAAAGATCATTTTTTCTAGCAAAAATATTGCGTTCCTAACCTCGAACCCGTATTTTTACACCGCTAGCTCACTAGGGAGTTTTTCAGCCTCAACCGCCTGAAAAGGAGCGAAGCCCTCACTTAACTAAAAAAATGCTAAAACAACGCAAATGCGGCCCTGCTCCCCAGCGGGCCGACCGTCCAGCCACCCGCTCCAGGCCTGGTGCCATCTGCGTCGCACCCATCGGGCGCACCTACGCGCGTTTGTCGCTATCGCACTCACACCGCGCTTGACGTGCAGGTCAAGCGCACAGGGCCGCACTCGTAGCGAAGCCCTTAACGATCATACGTTTTTTCTGGGAAAAATATCGCCCTCGGCACTCTCTACTAGAGTGCCCCTAACCTCAAACCCTCCATTTTCCCTGTTTGCTCACTAGGCAGTTTTCCAACCTTCAAACGCTTGAAAAGGGGCGAAGCCCCATCGCAATCGTCATTTTTTTCTAGCCAAAATATTGCCCACCTAACTTCAAACCCGTATTTTTACCCCGCTGGCTCACTAGGGAGTGTTTCAGCCTCAACCGCCTGAAAAGGAGCGAAGCCCTCACTTAGCTAAAAAAATGCCAAAACGCTAAAACAACGCAAATGCGGCCCTGCTCCCCAGCGGGCCGACCGTCCAGCCACCCGCTCCAGGCCTGGTGCCATCTGCGTCCCACACATTGGCCGCACCTACGCGCGTTTGTCGCTATCGCACTCACACCGCGCTTGACGTGCAGGTCAAGCGCACAGGGCCGCACTCAGCAGCAACTTAATCGCGCCCTTGTTGCAGGCAACGTGTTCGTGATAGCGGCCATTCTGCTGGAGCGCAACCTGCAAAACGTGGCCAACTACCTGATCCTCTCGCTGGCGGTCGCCGACCTGCTGGTGGCCTGTCTGGTGATGCCGCTGGGCGCCGTGCAGGAAGTGAGCCAGGAGTGGGCGCTCGGGCCCGAGCTGTGCGACATGTGGACGTCCAGCGACGTGCTCTGCTGCACCGCCTCCATCCTCCACCTGGTGGCCATCGCCCTGGACAGG